CGTGGGTCCCTTGATCTTGACCACGCCAGCTCTCTTGTCTGCGTCTGGTCTGTCGCTGCTCATGGCCGAGGCCGAGTTCATGACGTATGTTCAAGAGTTCTCCGGACGGGAGGCCGGCCGGATCGGTCCGAAGGTGACCGAGACTGCTGAGGCCGATCGCGTGGCGTTTGCCGAGGCGGTCCTTGATGGTCCTTCATCTTGGTTTTGCCAAGTGGGCCTTGGCGTAGTTGGGCTGGGCCATTCTCCTGTTGAGCTGGATACCCCCATTCCCGGATATCCATCACTTATATTGTAAAAATAAACTAAGTACGGAGTATGTTTTGATCACATAAACAACAAGCGTATGTAATTTATCGTAAACAGAAACTTATTGTCTGTAAAACCTAAAGATAAAAATTTCACCCTTCAAATCTACGAAATAGTACTGTACCAAGAACATTTCAGAAATTTTCTTATGTTTATAAAAAGAAATGAAAAATTACAATCAATACTATTTAGTCACACAAACACTAAAAGTCTTTATTTCCTTGAACACAGACATTTGATATTTGTGTAATCTGAATCAAAACAGACCTTTACTCTCCGTGTAAATATATTTCACAAACAAGGAACGTATGTACTATTTAGTCCCACAGACAAATTAAGTCTGTAACTCTTTCAACACAGATACTTCAAATCGTTGTAACTTTGATGAAATTTGAACCCCTTAAATTACCAAATACAGAGTAATCAAGTATGAAGAATATTTTATAATTTTCCATATGTTGTCAAAAAGAAAAAGAAACTGCAATTAACATTGTTTAACTCAGAGACATTAATACTCTGTAATTCATCGATCACAGACAGTACATGTCTGTGTATCGCGAATTGAAAATTGCAGCCCCATCTCCACCAGAATCAAACCCTTCTGTGAAGTTGTTGAAGAACAAAGACTCAGTGACGGTTGGGCAGGAGTGACTGATGACGAGAAGCAGGCGGTAGAGGAGGAGTTGATGCGGCGGCATAGGACTTGATGAATGCGTGGTTCACCGCTATGATCCGATCTAGATCTGATGGTGATGATGCCTCTGTTGTGAGGCTTATGGGTTGGCGAGGGGGAAGCCCAGATTGTGCATCTTCTAGGCATGGTGTTGCAGCGTCGGCCACCGGCATGGAGTATCCTACGAAGCAACTCCTCTGGCGACGATGATGAAGGCATGGTGTTGCAGCGTCGGCCACCGGCGAGAGTTGAAGGGGTAGAGAGAGAGTGATGGAGATTAGATCTGAGAATGAAAGGTGGGGGATGGGTTATCCATTGAGAGGGAGGGGTGAGTGTATATGGTGTACAAGATGGGGTACACGAGTGGTGTACCCCTAGCACCCATGTTCTTAAAATAATGTCTTTTTCCAAATTTGTTTCCAAGCTGAATTAATTAATCAGATAGTGTTCGTTAAATAAAAATAATGTCTGATTTAGTCCTCTGACTAATGGTCATCAAAATGGCATTAAAACTTATATTAATTTTTTAAATTGATCATATATAAATATATAATAAGACGTTTTTTTTGAATTAGTCTATTTTCGATGTAAAAACTAATTTAATATGAAAAATCGAAGTAGGATTTCTCCCTTATTATGATTCATGGTGTTTGAGCAAAGTCAGAAGACCATTTTTTAAGAGATTTTATTTAGAAAATTGACTAATTTGGAAAAGAATTGATTACAAATGATCATTTTGAAATAGAAGTATAAGTTTTAATGTCGTTTTGATTCCCTTTTCATGGTGGTTAGTCAGGGGACTAAACAGAGCGTTATTTTCAATTGACAAGTTAAATCTCGATAGTTAGCTAATTTTAAGAACTAATTTGAAAAAACACATAGATATTGAGCATCATTTTGAGAATTTACTCAAAAATAAATAAACAAATAAATATTGTATTGAAAATAAGTTCACAAATTTTTGTTTATTTTTATATTTTCATTAATTATTTGATAAAATAAATATTCACTCTGTTCTAAAACCATCTTCCCATTTCCCTTTTTTCTCCGTTCCCATTTCCCACTTCTTAAAAAAAGAATATGAATTGACTATCTTCTCTCTCAAGTCTCAACTATCTGAACCTAATGGCTTATCTCTTCACTCTTGTAACTCTCTCAACTGTCACCCTCATCTCTCGTCACTCTCAACCTTCTGGCTTCTCTTTTCTGT